TCTAAGAATTCACATATGTAAATATGAATGTAGTATTGCTATATTGCATAACGTGTAGGTTGAGTATAATAATAATGATGATTATCATGACATTGGGAGTGAAGGTGCATATACCTTGGTAAGCACCATAAATATAAATGATTGTTATACATGTAGGGCTCAAAATTAACAGCCTATCATGCTCAGACTACTAATCTTGTCCCGGGGCTTCATTATATCAAAGTTATTAGCTCAGCTGCACTGCTAAAAATTTACAAAATATATTAGTACCATGTTTTTGAAATAAAGCAATTCGTCTTCAAAACTATGGATGTCCTTCACAAATTGAGCAAAATGACATTTATTTATTTCTATTCACACTTTTCTGCATGGCTCTAAATACTACCAGCTTTTATAACTTATAGCCCATCAGACTTCCAAGGAATTTTGTTAATTTTGTGCCCTGTTGTTAGGAATGCTTCTATGCAATGTTAAAATTTCTGCCTACATTGTGGGAGATTTAAATACTGATTATTCAATGTAAACCAGTGTTTTTCAACACACTTAACACCACAGTATAATTAATATTCTACGAAGTTGCACCGAGTATAGTACAATGTTTTCATGAATCTAGCGATCACATTTTCATTGACTGACACATAGCGTATGTGGATGCACTCCTATACTACCTGAGTGCATCTTATGCATCTTTTTTCTGCTTGTAATAATAATAATAATTTAATGAGAGATAACAGCCTTAAATAGCAAAGAAAAACACATGAAAATTTGCATTTATTGACAAGATTCTATTTGCATCCTAGCATTTCTGTGTCCAATATCAACAAAAGAATGTATTCAAATGTGATTTAATACTAACAGCTTTTTATGGAATGGTAAATTCATTGTTTTTGGTGCTAAATGTATTATAATCTGTGTCATTAGCTTCAACCACTTAATTAGCTTTTCTGTCACCGTAGATGACAAAGCAGAACTGTTCATATACCGGTAGGTAATTGTTTGTCAACAATTGCATTTTCTACTTCTACTTTGAAAACTACCAGCTAAATTGCTTTGATACTTGGTATGTAGGTACCTTGGATGGATCTGTCAGATTTGTTCTTTTTGTGACGACATCTTCAATTCTCTATTTTTGGCAAATGTTTTTGTCATTTTTGGTAAAAAAATGCTATTTTTGACTTATTCTTAAAAACTACCAGCTCAATTGCTTTGATACTTGGTATATAGGTACATGTACCTTGGATGGACCTCTGTCAGATTCGTTCATTTCATGAAGATAACTTTAATTCTCTATTTTTGCCATATATTTTTTGTCATTTTTGGTAAAAAACACTGTTTTCGACTTCTTGGGAGGACCTCCGTCCGATCTGTTCATTTCGTGACGATATCTTCAATTCTCTATTTTTGGCGAATATTTTTGTCATTTTTGGTAAAAAATGCTATTTTTCTCAACAGCTCATTTGCTTTGATACTTGGTATATGTAGTTACCTTGAATGGACCACTGTTAGATTTGTTCATTTCATTTTTTTTTCTTCTGTTTACAGCTGTGCAGGGATTCATTTTTCTCAGAATCAGGACATTTTGTTGAAAATGCTAACTAGCTACACAGAACATTTCTAATTATTTGCCAAATTTTGAGTTTGAAACAGTAAATTTAACAGAAAACGTTTGTAAAACATTGCTGTTGATATAGCAAGGATACATTTGTGGTTGAGTAGATTTATTGGTTTACCATGACCTATGGTTATATTACAGTAACTCAATCATCATTGTGTTCTCATGCTGACAGCTTCCTGTGTTTTATGGAATTAAATCATGTCTCTGCTTCCAAATGTCATCTTTCATAATATATGTTTATTCTAGTAACTATCTTGGTTTTTGTACCATAATACAGTGAATTTATGTATGATCATCATAAGGTCTATTATTAGAGATTTTAAATGGCAAGCAATGGAAATTAGCATATCTGTTCCAAATATGACAATTTTCCCTGGAGAAGTCTTTCATGTACATCGACTACTTATTACCTGAGTGTAGCTTATAATAACATGCTTGCAAAAGAAATGATCATCAAAATAGCTGTTTATATATACATGTACATGTATACGTTGCTATATGTAAATTGTGAATTCTTCCAATATCTTTTCTTGCATTATATTACATGTATTGTAAGAGGTGACAAAGAATCAAGGGTTTTCAAACACATAATAGTGTTATAATTCTGAAAATGTAATACCCTGATTTATCTTGCATTTTATAAAGAAATCTACATGGATTTGGGATTGTATTTGTGTAAACTGGTGCTTCTAATACATTATCATTCAAAAGAATTTACTTGCTGTGTAGTGCATGTTCTAGAATTTATATTCAAATTCCAGGGTTTAAAAACACACTCTAAAGAACTTGCACCTAGATAGGCAATGTGCATGACAAAATCATTTTGATAATACCGACCATACATTGGTTCCTAGATAGGCAATGTGCATGACAAAATCATTTTGATAATACCGACCATACATTGGTTCCGCACATAATATAATATTGTTAGTTGTGACATTTGTGCCGATTTGCAACAATAAATGTGGTGATGTGTTCAGTATGTACGCTATGTAGCAAAAAATGTTCATGCAATATTAACATTAAGTTAGATATTATTTCAATCAGTTTGGGATCTCAACAAAGTTCAATTTTGGTTTTTGTTCTATGTATATTTTTCAAAATATTGGTTAAATTTCACCCCCAAAAAATAAAAAATTAAAACTTAAACAAGTTTTATCTGATCATCTTCAAATTCAGGGATTTTATCAATTGGTAAGAAATGTCAACAAAGTTCAATTTTGGTGTAACTAGCACAAGATTTCAAGATATGAGATAAAATTTAAAACATTTGTTAGAGGTTAGAATAGTTTTTCATGCAAAATGTTTAGATATATTATAGCATTGTTTCAGTACATGTATATTCAATAAAATGTTTAGATATATTATAGCATTGTTTCAGCACATGTATATTCAATAAAATGTTTAGATATATTATAGCATTGTTTCAGCACATGTATATTCAATAAAATGTTTAGATATATTATAGCATTGTTTCAGCACATGTATATTCAATAAAATGTTTAGATATATTATAGCATTGTTTCAGCACATGTATATTCAATTTTACTATGCAAAAAAAAAAGATTGTGTATTGTTGATTTTTATCCATCCATTTGTTATTTTAATCTAGATTCTCGATGGGCAAAGTTATAATAGTTATGCTATGTTTATTTTTAGTATTCTCATCCCTTTCAGGCATTTCTCATTTTTAACTCCTGCGTGCAGAGCACAAACAGGAGGCCAATGTTGTACTGATGTCTATCTTTCTGTATGGATGTCAATCTTGTTCCTCCAATATCTCAAAAAAGATTCAGTGGGTTCAGATGTAATTCGGTACACAGATACTTATGATAAGATTTTGGTACAAATCTGTGCAAATAAATGAGTTTGTGTAATAATCAATTAATATAATAATTGTTAATATCTTAACAGTTGCTCAATGGGTTAGAACTTGGTACATTCATACTGTTTGTGTAGCTGCATGAATGATAGTTATTTGCCATTATTTTGTGCATTTCAATTAGATAATTTGCATAACTTTTTTAGTATGTTCTTTGTGCATAGATGTAGAAAAGCTTTGTACATGCTTGCTGTTTATGTAGATAAATACCTGATAGTCTGTACATATTAATTAGTTATTCTCTACAATGATAAAGTTTTCAGCCTTTATTCGATATCATAAATCTAGTTTGGATGTCGTGGGACTTATGGGTTGACCTCTGTGTGTCCGTCCGTGTGTGCGTCTGGACCTATATCTTAGACATGCCAGGACCAATTACATGGAAACTTCACACAGACATCATTCATAATATTGTACATATGCAAATTAATTTGTTTCCCAATCTGATTCAAGATGACCGATTTTGTGCTGGAAAATCATCCAAATCAAGCAATTCTTGCCCAGTTTACAGATGGATTTTGTTCAAACTTGGTACATACATTGGTCCCATACCTTGTGCACTTCATTTTGTTTTTCAGATGGAATTCAAAATGGCTGAATGGAGACTATTTTGTTTGAATGAATGTGGTTCTAGAACCATATTTGCGACATGTTTTGACTGATTATGTTCAAATTTTATATATTCATTATACATCATGTCATAGATATACATATGTATTAGTTTGATGAACCAATTCAAAATGGCCGACCAGTGGCCATTTTGTTTAAATTAATGCTGTTACAGAGCAATATCTCTCAAAATGGACAAGTACTCGTTTGATGATCAGATACAAGATGACTGAATGTCTCTCATAATTATCAAGCTTCATCTTCTAGATCCATATCTCTGGCATGTTTATGTTCAAACTATATTACTATTGACAAAACTACATGTATATATCTTAAATTTGATAACCAACTGGGACTTTGCCATGCATGTTTTGTTCAAATGTTTTTTAGGCTTTACATATGCACATTGGGAGTGCAGTTAAATATCTGACACTGTGAGAATTGAATAACTATTCTCATTTTTTTTATAGTTAGTACATGTATTCTAACAATTCTGGTCAAATAGATGGAATCAGTGTATACCATTAGTTTTGAATCACTCTATAAAGCAGCATAAGCTAAGCTGAGGCACAATTGTTAGTTCTTCAATAAACATCAGTGAATATTGAATTAATTCCACATGGGAGTGCTTTCCTGGCATTTCTAGTCTTGCAAATGATCCATATTTGTGTGTGAATTTGCTTGGTTGTAATGATGCCAGTCCTTCAGACAAGGTTATGTGATTGTCAGGTTTCTTATCATTACTGTTCTGATTTACTTGATCTGTGACTGGCATTAAAAAATGTAGGTCATGCAAACATGTAATCTGACTTGTGATGTACATGTATATTCATTTCTATTTCCATATTATATATATATATATATTAGAGTATTCTCATTTTTTGTTTGTTTCAGTGCTAAAAAAGACTGATACTCTATAATTTGTTATACTCGCTCACAATGCCACTGTTTGGCAAGTCTCAGAAGAGCCCTCAAGAGTTAGTGAAAACTCTCAAGGAAGCAATGACTGTCTTAGAAAAAGAGAATGTCACAGATAAAAAAGCTGAAAAGGTTTGTGCATTGGATTATAATGTGCTGTATAATATATAATAATTTTCAGATGCATGTTGTATTGTCGGCAACATTTTCTTTAAAGCCATTGATTTGTAATGTCATGTGTGTACTGCAATAAATGCAACAACTGCAATATTCACAAGATATCCACATTAGAATTTCTCTGCTCTGCAATCAATGATTGCTTATATTACAAAATAAATATTCAATATGAAGAATTGTTCATTAAGATTAAGTTGATGTGTCATTTCATTTTCAACAACCACAATTTTGTAATTTTTTTTTAATTTATTTTACCTGTTCGACAATATCTTTGCAACATTCTAATTTTCATTATTATAATGTATACACGAGTAATATGCACACTGTAAATTTGAACTACTTTATGTGTACTGATAATCAGTATTTCCCAAGTTATAGATAACATCATATTCTCACTATTGCACAACAGTAGCTATGATGTCAATCAGTCATACTTTATTAACAATCCTTTGCTGGAGAATCAAGGTGGTGGACTACATATTACTGATGGAAAGTTGAATATCTAGAGAATGAAAAGTGATATAAAAAAAACTGTAAATTGCATTCTCCTACATTTGTGGAACTTTTTCATCTGAGAGCATAATATTGTTTGCCCGGGCATCCCCTTATAGTTGTCTTACAGTTTAAGATAACTTGTTTTTAAATACAGGCTTCAGAGGATGTGTCTAAGACGTTGATTTCAATGAAGAATATCCTGTATGGTACAGGGGATCAAGAGCCGCAAACTGAACTAGTGGCACAACTTGCACAGGAATTGTACAACTCAAATCTACTACTCATACTTATACAAAACCTACAGAAAATTGACTTTGAGGTAAGTAATTTTACTCACTGATATGCAAAGTAAAAGAGTCTCCACTCAGTAGTTGCTGCACTATTTTTAATTAGTTGCCATAATGTATTTTGACAGGATTGTATATGCTTCAATATTTAAGTGTATTGTATGCATAGCACCTCCCACTGATTTATGTGATCAGTTTGAGAAATAATAAATCAATCCTGAAAAATTGGAGCACTGAAGCTAGCCTGTACTGAAGAGGTCATGGTATCTAATTGCCAAATCAAACATAAATTTTAAATGTTGTAATTACTGCAGGCCACTTTATTTTATTTGAGGAGATTCGTAGTGTATCATGAACACATGATACAGGGATTAAGTGAGAGTTTATGTAGCTTCCAATGTGGCCATATCTGTCAATTGTGGTTACAAATACTGTCGTATAAATAATTTATTAACTATAAGATACAGTGTAGATGAAGAGCATAATATGCACCAAGCATTACCATAGCAATGATGGGTCATTCAGTTCTATTCTATATTTTCTCGCACAAGTCACATTTCAATTAAAAGACAACACCCTTATCTTATTTTTCTACCAGGTCAACAATATCTTCATACAATTTTATTTGCTCACTATTTCTTTTTTCAGGAATATTTGAGATATACATGCACACACTTTCACTTCTACCATACTGTCTGACATTGTCCATGTTTACATTGTGTATTGTAGGCCAAAAAGGATGTAGCCCAAATTTTTAATAACATCTTGAGACGACAGATTGGTACACGATCTCCTACAGTAGAATATATCTGTACAAAACAAGAGATTCTTTTTACTCTTATAAAAGGGTAAGTCATTCTTTTCAAACCTTTCACCTTTACATTTGCTGTAAGTGTGCACTATTCATTGTAATTTTGTCTTGCATGGCAGTACATACGAGAGGGGTAGACACATCCGATAAATGACCATGTTTTACCATTTGTTGGTGTTCATGGAATTCTAGTCAACTTTGCAATACAACTTTCAATCCAATTCAAGCCAGGCGTTAACAGCACATGCAGCTGTGGTTGTAGAATCCACACAAAAATACATTCTTTTGAAGTGAAATATTCTTTTTCGGTAAAATTTACATTTTACTCACATTACTATGATTTCTAATAATGTCTACGATTTTAGAGTATTTTAAATTTAATGCTTAAATTTCATTTATAAAATAAAATAAAATTTGTTGGCTTCCTCTTTAAAACTGTAAGCTAGATTCCATTATTGTACAGGTAGGTATCTACTGCATTGCTATCACCATGACTACTAGTCAGATGTCAATGATGCAAGGTTTGTTTATTACAGGTATGAAACACAGGAAATAGCTCTTAACTGTGGTGTCATGTTGAGGGAATGTGTTAGACATGAAGCATTGGCAAAAATTATTCTCTACTCCCCTGACTTCTATAATTTCTTTAAATATGTTGAGATGTCTACATTTGACCTTGCCTCTGATGCATTTGCAACATTCAAAGTAAGTATAAATGTCTCGACTGTATAACATAACTATGAATCAATATAGATACATGTATAAGGCATTTATTCCATTCACATAAAGTTTTCAATCAATGTGGCATTGAATCCATCCATTGTGCAATCAGTGTGCCAGATTCATACAGTTCCACTGTATAAAATGTACTATGATGAAACTTCTTGATGCACTTCAGCCTACTCTTGCTATTTTTGACTGTCCACACTTCACTGTTGTACTTTTTTAATTCATTTGTACTTGCTTTTATCAAAGTGTGATCAGCCCAAGGACTGTATCCTTATATTGTTGAGTGAATGAATGAATGATTTTATGTTAGCTTTGGAACAGTTAAGACAAGCACAAACAATTAATAGATGAATTGTGACTGTTGCCATTGTGATCTAGCCCTGTTTAAGTAAATGATGTGCTTAATGATATGTTGCAATTGTATCAGTGGCATATTATACTTTTCCTCTACATAGGATCTTTTAACCAAACATAAGATATTGTGTGCAGAATTTTTGGAAAACAACTACGGTGATGTATTCTCACATTATGAAGGTTTACTCAACTCATCTAATTATGTGACAAGAAGACAATCATTGAAGGTAATTCCACATTCAGTCTTTTCTATTATTATTCCCTGTTCGGACACCGACCTCTGTGTGTCGATGCTTCAGTGCGTGCGTGCGTGCGTCAGGATCTGTATCTTAGAAATGCCAATCACAATCAAACTTCACACATACATCATACATGACATTATACATATGCACATCAATTTGTTTCACGATCTGATTCAAGATAGCCGAATCATCAAAATCAAGCATTTCTCAGCTGTTTACAGATGGATTTTGTTCAAAATTGGTATAGTCATTGGACATTATAGAACCTTGATGCACATCATTTTGTTTTTCAGATAGGATTAAAAATATCTGACTGGCGGCCATTTTGTTTTAATGAATGTGGTTCTAGTGCCATATCTCTGCCTTGCTTTGACTGATTATGTTCAAATTTTAAATATTCATTATACATCATGTCATAGATATACAGATATATTGGTTTGACAATCCTATTAAAAATGACCGAATGGGGGCCATTTTTGTGCTAAAAAATCATCAAATATCAAGCATTTATGGATGGATTTTGTTCAAACTTATAACATACATTAGATATTACAAGTTCCTGATGCACGTCATTGTATTTTTCAGATCGGATTCAAAATGGCCGACTGGCGGCCATTTTGTTTTAACGAATGGGCTTCTTGAGCCATATGTCTCTGACATGCTTTGACTGATTATGTTAAAATTTTATATATTCATTCATCGTTTGACGATCAGATACAAATGTCAAGCATTTTAATGTTAAACAATCATCATAATCATATTCCTGACATGGTTATATCCTAGCTGTATTACTATAAACAAAACTATATGTCCTGAATTCGGGGACTGTGCCATGCATGGCTTGTTTACTAAGTATCATGCAGTCAACTCTGTTAGGCTCTGCTCTGGTTTCTTCTTTGTCAAAGTACAGTTGCTAAGTCATCATTTTCTCAGACATGATGATGTATGATGACTTACATATGCACATCAATTTTTATGACAATTTGATCAAATGTGCCGACTGGTGGCCATTTTTGTTTATTCATGCCTGCGCTTATTCCTTACTAATACATTGCCTGATTCAGTTTGCATACAAGTATCATCTCCACAGATAGTACTGTACATTTTGTTATTTTGTGATTTGATCAATTTTGTCTAAAATTAAATCGCAGTCTGTAAACGTGTCCGACACTGTTTATCAGAGATGGGCAGGTTGCTTTCATTCAAACTTTGTATCAGGACTTTGCATATT